AACTTTGATGATTCATCAATGGTATTTTTTTCCTGTTTTGGTTTAGTTTGGTACTAAGAATTAAAACTTAGGCCCCCACACGTGCTAAGCAAGCGCTCTACCACTGACCCCTTATCTCCAGCTCTGCATACTTCTCCCTTACTGTCCCTTACTATTCCTTAGAACACCAGAGATACAATCAGCTGGAAGCACACTGCGCCAAAGTACAGCTAACAGTTACGAGACCTAAAAAGAACAGTGCTGGAAGCATTTTAAAAAAGCGTAATTTAGCAGGTACTCGTGGTACCAATTCCTGTGGCTTCCTACATCATACTATAAGACACATGTAAACTCACAGAGTGCTGGCAAGCGATGGGGACTTGTAAGGACAGTAAGCGCCAATGCATGTATTAAAGCTGACGTCAGAAACAAACTCTCCCCAGCTTAGGAGGCAGAGCACAGGATCAAGCGTCTATAGCATTCCTCCCAGCATTACTGATGCTCTGTTCTGAGAAAGTCTGGCGGGGAGGGGAGAATCTCTTATGTTTTACAGGGAATACAGCAGCATCTCTGACATCTACCCACCAAATCTAGTGCACCCTTTTTCCAACTCTCAAGAACAATGTCGTCTCTGGGCATTTGCAACTATCCCCCAAGATTAGGAACGGAGTGATCGTACCAAACCACTGATCACACAGCAAAAGAAAAGTATTAAAAAAAAATAATACAGTCCATTCTCTAGTACCTATGCCTCCAGTAAAATGGCCAAACATATTTCTCTGTTGAAAGACAAGGGAAGAAAGACAATAACTGTATTCTATTCACTAAACCTGTACCTAGTTTTCTGTTTGTCTCACACATTTGTAAAAAGCAAAAGGTCAGGTTCTGCCTTTTCAACCTGAACACCCAAACCAATCTTTCTGATTTTCCTGTAGCAACGCACCCGTTACAGCATCACATTCAGAAGACACCAAACAGTTGCATACAGAGAAGAACACAATTTGCAGCATACAAGTATTCAAAAGCACTTACTGTTCCCACACGCCTTCTGACATTATTTGAACTGAGTGTTAACAGATCCTAATAAAACTGTAACTTTTGAGGGGTACTGTTTTCACTTACTTCTCTGGGGGGAAAAGTCTTTAGCTTTACAATAGTCTCAAGTTCTTCTCCTATGCTGATTTGTAAGCAAAAGGTAAGATTACTATGAATATCAATTTCTTCTTATAATCAAATAAAAATGACAACTTAGTATTATATTAGAATTATTACAACTGAAGTAATTATCATGACAAACATATATGATCTTTAATGTTTTCTCCAATCCAAAATAGTTATTTTCCTGGAATTCCAGGCTAATTAGTACTGAGAAAGTAGACGGATATAAATATAGCATAACCTGCTAACAGTGACATTCTACTAAGTAGCAAAGCAAGGGTCCAGACCGTCTTATTTCTACACTAGGACTTTTCAAACCTAACAAAAGAATCTTCAAATCTTGTTACATTCAATGTTCTGATTCCACATCTCTGGCAGAGGATGGAGGAGGGCGAATGGAGCATGGAGCAACATGCTGTACTTCCCACAATTCTACCTGTGATACACAGACAACAGGCCACCCTACCAGTAGCAAGGGTCTATCTACCAAGAAAATACCAGATTGAGCCTATGAACAAGGGAGAGGTTACCAGCTTCTCATTTAAAACTCAGGCTTCCAGTTTTACATTCTTCAGGGGTAACCTGCGAAACTTTTTAAGCACCTGATCTTGGGTTTTATCTGAAAAAATTACAAGCTTAAAACTCTAATACCTACCCCAATTAAGGCATTTCCTATATTCAAAAACTATCTCCCAATACCCTGTCTGCATCACAATGCTAAGGAGTATTTTAGAAGCATCCTTTGTACTCGTTTATATACACAGAAAAACAGGGCTAAGTGAGAAACCTGCAGTCTCTAAGGCAGCGCCTGGAAGACGAGGTCCACCCTTTCAGCACATACACTCAGTGGTCATGTCAACAGGTTTCTATAAAAGCAGAGCAATGTCCACACAATTTTCTTCCAACTTTACCAGCATTATCAATTATTTATAGCCTAATCTGAGATCTGGATGGCAAGGCTATAAATTTGAACAAAAAATAATTGCATCTGTGCCGGCTGATCTTGGCTGATCTTCCCGAGCAAGCTGCTGGGTTTGAACTCACCTAGGAATGCCCCTGGGGGCACATCTGTGAGTGTCCTTCCAAAGAGACTTAACTGAGACTGGAGCCCTATCCTGCCTGTGAGCAGCCGCACCTCGTAATTCCAGAACTGAAATACTGTCTATCACTAGAGATAACATCTTTATCAACGTTCTTAGTGCCAGGAAAAAAAAATTACACAATCCAAAACTAATTCGATACCTGAGCACTGTGGATTAGACCTAACTTAATGCTAACTAAAAGAAGATATTTAAGAAAATCCTTCCTAATCTGAGTAATTTGGCTTTTTTTCTGAACTTTCCTGGATTTCATTCAACTTTTTTTCTGAGATACATAGATACATTTCTACCCCAAAAAAAGAATTAAATCTGTCACATCCTTTGACAAGCTTGCTGAAAGAAAGAAGAGAGAAAGACAGAGAGAAAAAGGAAAGAAAGAAAGAAGTCACACCCAAAACCATAATGGTATTCTGATTAAATAACTATACACAAAAAGCCAAATGTATTAGGTTTCTTTTTACATTGCAGACAATATAAACCCGCAGATCTTAAATGTACTTATGAATATGTAATTTCATTTGTCAAGGTAGACTAAACAAAGGTTAAGTTTAAAGCATACAATCTCCACAGGCTTACAATGAACATTTATTTAAACACCTACGAATTTAAAGAACACTATGATGTTCTTTCCTAGATCTGATAAGAAGGCAAAAAATACAATACAAATTTAGACTTCTCTGTCAAAATTCTACACTTCCGGCACTAAACACTCAATCTAGAAAGTTCCTACCCTAAGTAAGGAGTAGACCTTCCACACAGAACTAGACATGCCCATGTATCTGGTCTTTTTACATGTAAGACATACAAGAAAAAAAAAGCCTAACTTCAAATGCCCAGAAACCATTTACAATGCCCACTTCTTGTCTAATTACTTATGCAGCTTCAAAGACACGCAGATCCTAAAGGAGTAGAGAACTGAAAGACATCATCAAGCACAGCAAGGGACAGCAGGCACAGACAGCTGTGCACACGCACGCCCAAAGTCTCACCACTCCACCCGTTCAGTGGCCAAATGCTGAGCTCTGTCTTTGGACTGGTACACAAGAGGGAAAATCCAGAACAAACTAAGCTCTCTGTCCCACAAAGTGTCTACTTTTCTAAGACAGTCCTCAGTGACCTCGCGGAAGCATCCCTGGGTTTTCTGTGAAAGCTGGGTCCTTCATCACCACAGACTCTGAGGGCAATCGACACACATCTACCACGTTCTGTAGGTTTATTCTGGTCCCCCGGATTGTGCTCTTTGCAGAAAAGCCAACCACCTTTAAAAATGTTTGATCTTACATGAACCTTTAAATATCTGAGAGTTTTGTACTAATCTTTACATCTCTCATAACGGGAAAAATAATTACACAAATTGCAAATTAAATGCTTCTTTCAGAGAGTAAACTTAACTTGACCTTTCCTAAGTGAACACAGATTTGACACACCATTTGGGAGGCTGGACTTCAATTTACTTATTTTCAAAGCAGCAAAAATATAATATTACTCACTCACAATTAGTTGTAAATTTTCTAGTAACTAGACTAAATGGAACATTTATTAAACATAATCACAATATTATCACTTGAACATAAGAGCAAAATTTTATGCTCTGCTAAGCTTTTAAAATGCAGTGCACAAGTCACACTGTCAGCATGTCATTTTAAACTTGCCACAAGTAAAGCTGCGAGTGGCCAGTGGCTACTGTATTGGGTAGCACGCCTCCTAAGTTAATACTGCGGTTGGACATACCACTTTCAATAAGCAAAACTTAATTCATTGAAAAATTCAGAATGAGGTCACTTTATCAACAGATCTAATAATGTACAGTTAGAGGTCAGTGACATTTGCGTCCACAGCTGACTCCAGAAATGTGTCCAATCAACACAAGTGATCACAGAATTTGTAGCAGAAACAGATTAAACACTAAAGCATTTTCCTACCAAACTATAACATCACCTCAACTGCACCACACATACTCCATCATAAGCACCTATCCCTATGCAAACTATTGAAATTGATCTCAAAATGATAATTTCATAAGCCACATAATTACTGTTCAAAAATCGAAGTATAGTATATAAGATGAACTAAAAAACCTGAAAGATTTTTGTCACTGGCTACTTTCGATGCATCTTAACATTATTAATCACAACCTTAAATTACTCTACCTAGGTTCCAGACAAATTCTTTCCACGATTACAATTTACTTTCTGCTTACTAAGAATTTTCAAGTAATTAGGACAATTGCTTAAAATGTAAATAATTCCAACAATGCACCCTCCAGAAAGCAACAACTGAAACTATTAGTTTATCACTCAAAATCTGTACTGAAGGCGAGTGACCAATAGATCAAACAGAAGCAACTACACTCTTGTTTACTGCACTTATATTTTCTAACACTGCATTCAGCAGTTTCTAAATTTGGAAGGTCAGTTCAGATTGCACACAAACAGCTCTTTAGAGCTGAAAATGTTAGAAATCACCGAAGTATAGCTGTGCACAGAAACGCTCTACAGACAGGCAAGCAAAATCATCACCGGTCACGCCAATTTCAGACGCCAAAATCCTGTGTTTGTAAGTTCACAATCTATACATGCCAAAGAGTATCTTTTCTCCCATTTTTATTTATTTAAGCTAGATAATTTCACTTTAGTGCACTCCAAAAAACAGAAAACAAATGAAGTCAGTTTTTCAGGCTGCACATATATCCAGGCAAGATCATTACATTAATTTCTCAATGTTTTTCCACAACTCGAAATGCAAACAAAATGTGTTTCTTACCTGCAGTTGGGAGGAGGATCAAGAGTGATTTCAGCTAGCTCCTTCTGAATTCTGCGAGTGAAATGAGAACAAACAAAAAGGATCTGAGGCAGTCTACAGAATAACCGGGGAATTACACTGCCCTCTACCACCACGCAGTTAAATGCAAGGCTGGCTTTGCCTTCAGTAATGCTAACATGGCTGCTTCCTCTTTGTTCTCAGAGGCATAGCCCAAATCCCTTAGCAGAAACTTTGCAGCTCTTTTTCTCACGTGCTACCGTGAATAAGTGTGTCATCGCCACCTGTTTGGAGAACTAGTCCTTTCTGACCACTAAGTGAAGGATACAGAATCTAATAAAAAACACGCTTTACCAAAGAAATTCTCTGTTCAAGCTTATATGCAAATGAGAAAAAAAGGGAGGAGGGAAAACACCAGAGAATTTGACAATGATTTCAAGTCACTTTTTACTGAGCTAAAAATTAACAGGCTGCTACAAGAGCAGAGGAACAGTTTCTGGAAATAAAATTTTATCTGTCAGAAAAGTTTAGAATTTCTAACCATCTTTGCCAAATGAAAAATTTCAAACTGGCACTCCCATTAACTCTGACTATCATCCCTGATTTTTAGACATACCTTTAAAGTTCTATAAATTTTCATCAGGAAAGAAGATAAATACACAAACTCAAGCTACAGACAAAAGGCAACTCTGACATTCTTCGAAACTAGGATGTTTTCAAAACTTGAGACGTGTTTAACACAAGATGACAACAAACTGGGTACTTTAGATTCTTTCAAAGACTGTTGCTGCTGGTCAATAAAACATTCTAAAGCTGTTAGCATTTGATTAGTGGTCAAAATCCACACAGAGAGTTTGAATTATGATAAGAATGTAACATTTCATCAGTTTTTGCATTTTTCTTCCTTCATTTATGGCCAACAACAACAAAAACTCAGCAGAACACCTGTCCTGGGTGTTGCTGTGAGCACGTTTCATTGAACTGCTAGTGTTGCCAGGCACCCCAACACTACCACCACTCAGTCCCACTGGCACAACTGCTTGTCATCCCAGAATATAAAAGTCAACAGAACACAACTGATCTTTAGCTTGGACTCAGTCATTTTCCCCTGCTGCTGAGTTAACCCGTCAAACATATCCACAAGTTTTATGAGTCAAGAGGAAGACCACAATGACATTGTCAGCCACCGAAAGATATCTAAAACTGTCACTGGCTACTTTAAGTTTTATGTGTCCTCCCAAGAAGGGGGAATAACAATAATTAGCACAGTTACACCTGTGCAGTGAGATTTAAAAAAGTCTTGTTCGTTCAAACTGTGGGCCAACTTAAAACACACTGTAGGACCTGCTTTCCAATAAAGCCAAGCCTGGTATTTACCAATTCTCCAGTAAATATTACCATATCTGACCACTCGATTGATGGCGAGAGGCACTGCTGATCTCCAGTTTCACTGAAGCACGCCTCACAGAAGGAAACCTCTCCAATGCCCCATCTAAATTCCCTGGCCAACTCCTTCATCTGTCAGAACCAGCCTCAGCTCTGCTGGAGACACTCCACACTTTAGAGAGCAGAGCAGAGTCAACAGGGGTAGGGAGGCGGCTTCTATGCCACAAGCAGAATGACAGCTCCTTCAAGTTCAACCACATGGGATGGAGAAGTATTTCCGAAGGATGGCCACTGCTGTTAAACCAACAAAGCCAGCGGTGGGACAGAAGGCCACCTGCCCAGGCGTGCGCCCTGCCCTGCAGGCGGATGTTACCTCTTAGCGCTCGTGGATAATTTAGCAGTCGTTTTGCTGGAAAGTTTGGTGTTTTTCTTCTGCTGGGTAGCAGAAGGCTTCCTCTCCTCCTGTTCCTCAGGCTCTGGAGCTGCAGGGTCCCGCTGGTCGGCATCTGAACTGCCACTGCTGGTGCTGGGGCTCTCATCGTCCGACCTCTGCCTATCACTGGACATCTTGGTTAAGTGATCTCTGGGAAAACTTCTAAGGAGAGAAGGGACCGTGGAGAAATGTTAAAAATCTTCCATATAAAAATAACCCAGCAGCATGCTCCTCTTTCTGGAAGCCCCTAGGAGAGTCTTCTGTGGAAAGGGATTCGAAAGTCCCCATACTCAAGGTACAGCAAGGTTACAGAGGCTGATGTGTCTTCTGAGGCAGGCGTTGAGGGATTTACCAAACTCAAATTAGAAAACCCACTCACATTTTCCCCCACCCCTCAGACAATCTATCAATTGTCTACTTTCTCAGAAGGCATGAAACAGATTTGCCAGGGAACTTGGGCAACGGGCATTAATAACATATGACAACTGTAAATAACAGATCTCGCTGAGAATGTTCAGAAGTCACTAATATAGTCTAAATATTTACAGGCTGACACCGGTCTGAGCTCCCAAATCCTCCTTCCCAGAGGGAAACATACCCTGTTAGTCGCCCATATGCTTATTTACGGTGGCGGGTCCTCCCGTGCGCACCGAAAGCCTTTGAACACACCACTCAAATTTAAAAAAAAAAAAAAAAATTCAACTGGCAGCCGCCCCAGCGCCGTCCCCACGGCCAGCGGCGAGGATTCACCCGGCCAAGCCGGAGCTGCCACCCGGGGAAGGGCAGGATCCGAACTGCACCTTCTTCTGCAAAGCTCCCGGTGCCACCGACGTCCCCCGCTCAATTCCTCCCTCACCGACCGACATTTTGTGGGGGGGGGGGTAGAGAAGAAAAAAAAAATCCGCAAAGCGGCCAAAAGCCCGAGGGCAAAACAAACAAACAAACAAAAGCCCTCCCCCACCCCCCACCCCCAGAAGTGCAACAAATTGGCGCGGCCCGCCCCGGGGCGAGCGCCCGGCCACGCAGCTCCGCGGTCCTTTGTGGGGAGGGCCGCACAGGGGACCGCGCCACTGCGCCCGCCCGCTCGCCCGCCGGGGGATGCGGGACCCGCCGCCCCGCGCCGCCGCCTGACGAGCGCGGCGCCCGGCGCGAACAAAGCTGCCGCCCCCGCCCCCGCCGCCCCCCACGCGGGCCCCGGCCCCGCCGCCTTTACCTCGGCCGCCCGCCCGGCCCGCTCGTGCGCCGCTACGCTGTGGGGGAGGGAGAGCGCCGTGGAGCCTTCCTTGAGGAAATGGAGGCAGCTGAGGGGGGGGAGAGAACCGAGGGGGGGGAGCGGGGAAAAAAAAAAAAGCTGCCGCCGCCGCCGCCGAGGCTCCGGCCCGGGAGTGTGGAACATCGAAAGTCGCAGGCGGCCGTGCAGTGCCGCGCTGCGGCCGGAGGGTGGCGCCGCCCCGCGCTCCGGGAGCCACGGTGGGGTGGGCGCTCCGCCGGCCGAGGCACGGACGCGGGAGACCCCCGCGCGCTCAGCCGCCCGCCCGCCCCGGCTGGGCTCCTCCCGGCCGGCCGCGCAGTCAGCAAGTTCCGAAGAGCGAGAGCGAGCGAGCGCGTGCGCGCGCGGGAGGGGGGAGGGGCGGGCGCGGCGGCGGCGCGCGTGCTCGCCGCTCGCCTGCCCGAGGGAGAAGGGGGGGTGCGGGGAGCGAGCTGCTCCTGCGCGCCCCCGCGCGCGCGTCCCCGCCGCGCCTTCTTCCCACCGAGGGCGGGGTGGGTTGGAGGGGGGGGGGGGACAGATGCGCACGCGTCCGCCCGCCTGCCTGCCTGCCCGCGCGCGGCCGGGACAAAGAGCGCGGCGGGGACCGGCGGGCTGGCCCCTGCGCCCTTGGCCGCCGAGCCTGGAGTGCGGGCGGGGGGGTGGGGGGGGAAGGCGGGGGCGCGGTCTCGCGGGGCCGTGGGTGGCTTCCGGCCTGGGCCCGCCTCCCGAGCAACGCTGCCCATCGGACTACCCGCCCCTGAGGCTCGGGAACCCGGGGTGGCCAGGGGGATCCCGTACCTGAGCCAGGACTCTGGCGCGTGCCCGGGGCTTCCCCGGTGCCCCGGGAGGCACGAAATGTATGGTGTTATTGGGGAGGCCAAGCACGCAGGCCAAGGAAAAGCTGCTGCCGGCCCCTCTGTGAGCTGAAGGAAGTGGCAAGGTGCAGAAGCCCAGGGCTCTCAGGGAGGTGGAGAGGATTTGGCAACCAGGGGACCAACCTCAGCTCATCCCTGGCTCCCATCCTGCAGTGTCGCTGCCAAAGGGGACTGCCCTCTGGACGCTTGGAAAACTTAGAAATCCCAAACTCCTTTTTAAATGTCCCGCTCAAGATGTACAAAGTCGATGAGGGAGTTAGGGGTGGGGGGTGCTGACATTTGTGGCAGCAGGCTCTCCTTTGCACAAGAGACACCAGTTCTGGACCGAGAAGCCCTGGGTGGATCTGTGACAGTGTCCTCATAAAAAGTTTTAGATAGGGGTCATGAAGGTTGCATTACTCTTGCGATTCCTTCTGCACACACACTCTAAAGTGGATGCCAGTTTTGCCCCAAGCACAAAACAAGTGCAAAAACTTCCTGTTTGCAGCTCCTGAGAACATGTTCCAGTGATGGAACCTCAAAGGAATTTGTGCATTCCTCTCCCACAAGTGTCCAGGGGCAGGTGTGCCAGGAGAAGGAGTTCGCAGAGGAAGCAAGAATGGCAGCGAGAGCCAGGGCTTGAGAAAGGAAAAAACTGTGTGAGCCAGCAGACTATTTTTCCTCCATATAGAGAAGTTTGGGTAAAAGAGCTACTCAAAACTATGAGTCGCATGTGTGACTTTCCAGAGACACACACTGGGCCACCTTACCTAACGTGCTATATGGTGGTGTATGCTAGACACACACTTCTTTCACAATCTGTTTCCAAAGCCAAGTCTCCTCGCCTCCTTCCAGGAGTTCCATGACCAGAAGAGGACCCCATTACTGAAGTTCACCTGGATGGGAAGAAAGCAGGATATCCCAGTGAGGACAAAGTCCTATCTCCAGAGGGATTGTGATCTGTCTGTGGATCAACACACAACCACCCTGGTTTGAGTAACCGGGTACTGGTGGGCAGGGCCTGAATCCGCAGACTCCCATCTTTATATTATATGACACGCTACAGCCACAGTCAGCCAGTTTGGAGGTTGGGCATGGTTAGGACGCAGCATTGGTTCTGTGTAAAGGTAACTTTCTGGGGGAAATTCAGTACCCTAGAAATAGCCGGAAGGCCCCAAGGCTAATGGGTAACGAAAATTCCATAAGTCTTCGGTGTGTTTGGATCCATGGAGTCCCAATCAGAATATTTAGGAATGACCACATACATGCTTAGGCAATTGGAAATGCACTATCTTCAGTTTGTAGTTGGCCAGAAAGCGAAGAAAGGATGAGGAGTTGCTGTCTTCCAGGAGGAAGGAAGTGAGGTGGGAGCATTATTAACTCTCAATTAAAATCCGTCAGAGGTTCAGAGGCAGCCTTTCCGTGGACAGTGGGAATAATTGCATGCAAAACAGAGAAGCATCCAATTGTGTGGCAACTTTTGTGTACTAAAATTTTGTTTAAAGTTCAAAGAAAACTCACAATGGGGTTATTACTGCAACTGGGCGCTATGACAATGGCTTGGAAGCAAAAGACTTTATATTGGACTGAGCCGGGAGGGATCGGTAGGCCTGGGTATACAGGTGAAAATAAAATAAAATGTTCTTGGCAAAACATCTGAAAGCCGGTTGGGGATATGCAGCACCATAATGGAGTGCTTGCCCACATGCTTGAGGGCCTGGAGTTGATCCCTAGCACCGGCCAAAAGAGAAAAAAAAAATAGAACTTGGATCAAAACAATAGGCATGGATCAAATAATACTTCCCAAGTTGTTAAACCAACTAAGGCCAGAGAGAGCTGTTAAGTTTAGAGAGAGGTTCCTGCCTGACACAGCACGAGGAGACTCAGCTCTCTCTGCTCACTCTGCACACAGGGCTGCTCCACTCTAGCTACTCACTCTAGCTCCCCTTCAGGGTGTCATGACATCACCACCCTGACCCAGTAGCCACTCTTCAGTTAGGAACTGTTTGGGCATGAAATCCTTCCTCACAAGACACTCTGCTTTGCGCTTGATTTTCTTCTGATTGTTTTTGCTATGTCTGTGTTTGAAATTGGGGAAGGTGATGAATAGCCACTTCAGGCGGTAGATAAATCTAATCTAATGCAAATCATCCCCTAAAAATACAGTAATTTCCCCCCCCACACACACAAGGTGCCAGAAAACAGTACCAAGAAGCAGACATCAGCTATGTGGTGGTTTTCTCCACTCGAATCTCTCTCTTTTTCTCTCTTTCTTCTTAGTATGGAATCCTGCCAGCCTCTTACAATCCTAAGAGAGTCAGATCGTAGAGCAAAGATTCTGAAGCCAGCCTTACCATTACCGTAATCACTACCTCTCCTCTTCCACCAGATATTGCGACCCAACGGTTGTTTTTCATTATGAAAAGATAAGGCTCACGTCTCTTTAGTTTGGGGCATGCTTTTCCATGGGCCTTCCGATGGATCTGTGTTACCTAATCACACACCCTTCATTTGTTAGTTGCTTAAGAAGTTTCCGAGTTGAGTTATGATGGAAGCCCGGGTGAGACAAAGCTAAACCCATAGGCAACAACCTAACACACACACACACTACATAAATGTATTGCAAATGTATGAATCTATTCTGCGGATTCAGAGCAGGATTTTGTTTTGTTTCACTCTATCTTTTCTCGGTGTTCCTATCTTCCCCTCTTTCCATCTTTTGCCTGTTTCTAATACTTTGTCATCACTTGTATCCTTCAGGCTTTAAACGTGTAAACACCCATGAGCTGGATGTGTTTACTGGAAAGCCAGGTCAAGCCCAGCCATACTTAACAAGGCTGTATCCACCATAGTCTTTGTTCAGCCAAAGTCCAGTGAGCTGCTTAGCGTCTGGGGGCCTCTCTAGGACATACTGTGTGAACCCTGCTGCAGGGCTGAGGTCGCCAGGTGGAACGTCTGTAAGCCTGGGCTTGGCTTCTCCCGCGTTAGAACAGTGGTCATCTTTTCTTGCTTTATTTCTTTGAGGTCATTCTGAGGGTGGTTAAGCACCAACAGAGCTCTTTAAGGAATTCACATACGTGAAATGTGAGCACCTCAAGAAGTGAGAAAGCCAAGAGCAGGAAAAAAATTTAAAGAACTGCAGTTTACTTATTAGAAAAAGAAAGGAAACTTGCTGGTAGGAAAGGGGGGAGAGAGAAGAGGGGAGGAAAAAAGGAAGAATGGGAAAAGAATCGGGAAGAGGAAGGAAATTTCCTGGACATGGTGGTGCACATTCGGGACACAGAATGCAGCCTGGTAGACAGTGTGAGTACCTTTCTCAAGAAAACAAAAGAGACAAAAAGACAAACCCCCTAAACTGAGATAGCTCTCATAATTAGCAAAAAATGTAGTGATTGAGTGCGGGCAAGTTGATATTTCACAATCCCTTTGTCCATTTTCAGAGGTGATAAAAATTGGTTAACCCCTCTAGAAAAAGTTTTGAAGTTTCTGGGGTTTGTTTTAATTTTACCAGATTGCCATACACATCCCTGGCTGGCCTGGAACTCAAAGAGCTGTACCTGCTTCCACCTCCTGGGGACTGAGTGAAGAGGTCTGTACTCCACACCCAGTTCAGTTTGGGGATTTTTACAGAAACCTTAGGTATGCTCATTCTTTTCAACCAAATTTCGCCGTTTTAAGAACTAACTGCATCTTGCCGGGCATGGTGACTCTTGCCCTGGGGGGGCGGAGAAGGATTGATGGAGTTCATGGCTAGTCTGGACAACATAGCATGACCCTGGATCAAGAGAAGAAGGGAAGAGGAGGAGGAGAAGGAGGAGGAAAAGGGAGAAGAAGACTACTGATTCACCATACCACGGGACTTGGTACTACCAGCGATGCTCCTCAGGAGTGTGCGCGAACACAGAAGCGGTTTTGAACAAATGTCAGTGAAGGTGCTGTTTTGTGTCTCTTGTTCACTGTGACATAGCCAAGCGCATGCTAGCACAAGAGCAGCAAACACAGCTCAGCGGATACGGACCACATATTTTCATCTCCCAAGAGGAAAATGTTTAAGAGTGTTCCAGAAGGTCAGTGCTCTGTGATGGACAAGGATGAGCTTCCCCCCACCCCCACTCCAGCCTCTTTCCTTGTTCGTTCGTGAAAATGCTACCTTTACGGAAGGTAGGGCAACGCACGAATAAACACAGATGTGAACTTAGTAAAAACAAGCTGTTTCCAAGTTCTCGAAGTTCTATTTGTAAATTACAATGTGAAGATTCTGGCAGGCTATTTTAGAATGTCTCATAATATTAAAGTTGATAAAAGAAAAAACTGAAAGACCATTTTTTTAAATCATGAAAAACCTAATAACTAGTTATATTAACATGCGACTTTGTCTAAATCACAACAAAAAGGATTCTGTAATTAACTAAAAGCTGAGCCG